AGCTACATTAATCATGGTGTTAGAAGTCAGGATAGAAGTTACCTTTGGGGAGTAGGGAGGAGATAGACATTGCAGCAGGGTCCAAGGGTTGCTTTTGGAGGGCTGATAATGTTGCTGGTAATTTATATGTTTGTAAAAATTCTTAAGGACTATACACTTCTGATTGGTGTGCTTTTTTGCGTCTTATATTTCAATAAAAAGGTTTTTAGTCCTGGCCAATGTGGCTCAGTTGGCTGGGCGTCATCCCATGCACCTAGAGGTTGCTGGTTCGATTCCTTGTCATGGCACATGCCTGGGTTGTGGGCTCAATCCTGGGTAGCTGGAGGCAGCCAATAGATGTTCCTCTTTCACATCAATGTTTCTCTTTCTCTCTCTCTCCCTCTCCTTCTCTCTCTAAAAATCAATTTTAAAAAATTAGGAAAAAAATGTTTTAAAAAATTCCACTATTATCACCTACCTCAAACCCCTTGACCATGCTTGGGGAGCAGAGGGAGCACAGACTCCGCTCTTTGACTTAGTGGGTTTGGAGCCTGGATCTGTGGTAGGCATTTAGCCAGACATGAGCAGACCAAGGGTGATGGGCCAGGTACAGAAGGTCACCAGGGCAGAAAGCCCCAGGCGCCTAGCAGTTGTAGGGTGGGACCTTGCCCCCAGGGTAATCTTTCCTCTTCTGGCATATCACTGGTCACTGGGTTTGGACCTCCTGACCTTTCTTCCCTAGAAATAATATCTAGGCCTCCATTGTATTTTAGCTCTAGGCCCAGAAAAACAGACCAGCCACCCCATGNTAAATTAATTTTTTAAATAGAAAAATATCAATCAGAAACATAAAGAAAAGGTAATTAAATTTTTTGAGATGTAGAAATCATGTTCCAATCTTTTCCAATAGTGTTATTTTGTTAAAATGATTAGATATTGTAATCACTGAATGATTTTTCAAAAACTTGCTATACAATAGTGCTTGCACCTCAAAGTGTGGTCCTCAGACCAGCAGCCTCGGTATCTCCTAGGAATCTGTTAGAAATGCAGAATCTCAGGCCCCACCCCAGAAACTACTGACTCAGAGTCTACATTTTAACAAGATTCTCAGGTGATTTGTCTGAAAGATCTCATTTGAGGTATAAAAAACACTGAGCTAGAAGACATAATAAAAAACAAAGAAACACAAAACAAAAACACTATTCTACTTTTGTCTCTAATCTTTTATGCCCCTCCCCCCCACCACACACATCTCAAAATTGCTGTGGTTAGATGATTCTGGAAAACAAATTGCTGAGTGAAAGAAGGCAAGCAAAATATCCAACCTGTATGATTCCACTTATATGATCTTTCAGAAGAGCTACATTAATCATGGTGTTAGAAGTCAGGATAGAAGTTACCTTTGGGGAGTAGGGAGGAGATAGACATTGCAGCAGGGTCCAAGGGTTGCTTTTGGAGGGCTGATAATGTTGCTGGTAATTTATATGTTTGTAAAAATTCTTAAGGACTATACACTTCTGATTGGTGTGCTTTTTTGCGTCTTATATTTCAATAAAAAGGTTTTTAGTCCTGGCCAATGTGGCTCAGTTGGCTGGGCGTCATCCCATGCACCTAGAGGTTGCTGGTTCGATTCCTTGTCATGGCACATGCCTGGGTTGTGGGCTCAATCCTGGGTAGCTGGAGGCAGCCAATAGATGTTCCTCTTTCACATCAATGTTTCTCTTTCTCTCTCTCTCCCTCTCCTTCTCTCTCTAAAAATCAATTTTAAAAAATTAGGAAAAAAATGTTTTAAAAAATTCCACTATTATCACCTACCTCAAACCCCTTGACCATGCTTGGGGAGCAGAGGGAGCACAGACTCCGCTCTTTGACTTAGTGGGTTTGGAGCCTGGATCTGTGGTAGGCATTTAGCCAGACATGAGCAGACCAAGGGTGATGGGCCAGGTACAGAAGGTCACCAGGGCAGAAAGCCCCAGGCGCCTAGCAGTTGTAGGGTGGGACCTTGCCCCCAGGGTAATCTTTCCTCTTCTGGCATATCACTGGTCACTGGGTTTGGACCTCCTGACCTTTCTTCCCTAGAAATAATATCTAGGCCTCCATTGTATTTTAGCTCTAGGCCCAGAAAAACAGACCAGCCACCCCATGGCTGACCTCAGGACCAACTGCATTGGATAATGACCCCCTACTCTGGTGCCACCAATCAATCAGTGGAGACCTAGACCCTGAAAGGATACACCTGGAACGCTGTTGAAGATTATAGTAAGATTGCCCTGGGTCCTCCCCTAAGATCTCTGCCCTTAAAACCCTAAGGACGGAGGCCCTTGGACTGGACTGGATGCTCTCACTCCTGAGAGCACCCTGGGAGCACACCTATGCCATTCCCTTCCCCATTCCTCTCCCCATCCCCCAGGCTCATTACCTTTAGCTTCCTCACTCCCAAGTTCCAAGGACCCTTCCTTTACCTCTATAACTTGTTTCCTAAGCCCATTTCTTCTAGGAATTACTTTTTTGACCTCTGTGATTAACCAAATAAATATTCTCTTACAGTCTGGGTCTTGGCTCTGAATTCTTTCCTAGCCAGAACCCAAGTACTGAGGTTGCTGAACCCAGGTTTGGTCTCATCCCACTGGTCTAACAACCAGTGCCATTCCCCTGCCGCCTACAACAGATCTACCACTCATTGGCTGTACAGGGGTGGGCAAAAGTAGGTTTATAGTTGTGAGTACACAAAAGTTTATTCTTGTATTATTACAACTGTAAACCTGCTTTTGCCAGCTCCTATATAATCTTGGGCTAGTTACTCTGCATTTCTGTCCTATGGGAGGATGGTAATTATTGTTTCACTTTATAGGAATGCTCTGTGTATTTTTAATCCCCACTCAAGGATATTTTTTCCATTGCTTTTCAGAGAGAGGGGAGGGAGGGAGGGAGGGAGAGAGAGAAACATAGATATGAGAAAGACATCGATTGGTTGCCTCCCATACACGCCCTGACCGGGGCCTGGGATCAACACTGAAACCGAGGTACGTGCCCTTGACTGGAATCAAACCTGAGACCCTTCAGTCCACGGGCCAATGCTCTAACCACTGAGCCAAACGGGCTAGGGTATGCTCTGTGCGTTAAATGAAATAATATATATGAAGTGCTAAGCACAGTGCCTGGCATGTAATAGACCATTAATGGACAATTATTTTGAGTACAGGTCTTCTCAATCAGTAACTCCCGAACACTACCTCACAGATAATCATTACCTGCAGTTCAGAGTAATCACAGCAGAAAACATTCTGAAAGCCACTTCCCTGATCTCAATTCAGGTGTCATGATCCATGTGGGAACCAGAATCTGGAGTATCAACAACAGGTTTTTCAGGATATTTGCTTTCAGAAGCACCTGTCTCATTCCATTACCTTTAGCCAGCAGTAAAGCTTGTGTCCCGCCCACTTTCCCTACAGCTCTCAGCACAGAGCTGGGCCTGTTTCTCATGCTTCCTGCTGTACTTTCCCAGGAACTGGCTCTAAAAACTTATAAATTAAAATTTTCAGGTGGAAATACTTGCAAGCAAACTTCATGCTCCGATTTCTAATCCTCAAGAGGCTCACATTCTCTTTGCCCACTTCTGTTTCCCCTGGCTCCAGACAACAGTGTAAAGGTGAGAACAGTCTCCACCCCGACGATAGAAGGGAAAGTCTGATAGAGGGGTTGGAGATAGACAATGCAGTCTCTTTATCCTTTATTCAAGGTGAAGAACTTTTTCAAAACATTTGCATTATTTTTTTTCTGGGCCTGGTCCCAGGACTACCAGGCCCTGGGGCAGCAGCACTGTAGCACTTTTTTTTAAAAAAATTGATTTTTAGAGAGAGATTAAAAACATCAATTTGTCTTTCCACTTACTTAGGCATTCATTGGTTGATTCTTATATGTGCCTTGACCCAGGATCAAACCCACAACCTTGACATAGCAGGATGAAGCTCTAACCAACGGAGCTACCTGGCCAGGGCAAAACATTTGCATTTTCAAAAGCTGGTTATTTCTAGGTGGTAGGATATAGGTATTTAACATTTTTTAAATGATTTTCTGCGTTTTTCCGTTTTTCCATTTGTCTATGTGATAGGCAGACATGAGCAGAACAAGGACGATGGGTCAGGTACAGAAGGTCACCAGGATGGGAAGACCTGGATGCCTAGCAAAGGACAATTGTAGGGTGGGACCTCCCCCCAGGGTGGCCTTTCCTTCCCTAGCATATCACTGGTTATGTCGTTTGGATCCCCTGACCTTTATAACATTTAGGCCTCAGTTGTATTTCAGCTCCAGGCCCAGAAAAACAACAAAACCAGCCACAGCTGACCTCAGGACTTGCTGCATTGAATGATGGCCCCCACCCTGGTGCCAACCAATCAGTGGAGACCACAGCTCTGAAAGGACACACCTGGAAAGCTGCTGAATACTATCAGATCTTTCTCTGGGACCTCCCCTAAGATCTCCATGTTTAAAACTATTAGGATGGAGAACCCAGAGCACTCTCCCTCCCAGGAGCATGCCCGTTCCTTCCCCTTCCTTCACCCCCAGGCAGTTACCATTAGCTTCCTCAGTCCCAAGCTCCTAGGGCCCTTCCATTGCCTCTATAACTTGTTCCCTAAATCCATTTCTTCTAGGAATTATTTATTCCACTTTTGTAATTTTACCCAATAAATGTTCTCTTACAATTCGGGTCTTGGCTCTGAATTCCCCAAGTAACAAGGTGGCTGAACCCAGGTCAGGTGTGACCCCACCAGACTAACATCTGGTGCGGTCGCTGCCGCCTACAACATCTACAATGACTATTATCTTTCATATAAGATTCTTTGGGGTCTTCTTTAATTACAAAAGCAGTTTGTAACCATTGTAAAAAAGCCTCCTTAATCATATCATGCAAAGATAACAGCTGTTAACATTTTGGCGTATGTCTTTCCAGACTTTTTCCTGTGTAAAGATGCTTCATTTTTGTGATCTGGAAAAAAAGTAAACATTTAAGAGACAAAGCCTTGGGTCTTTAGTCTTCAATTTTATTTCTGTTTTTAAACAGTATCTAACAGTTTGGAAATGTCCCTAACAGCAAGGAAATGTCCCTAATAGCAGGGCCCTACCCCATGCACTCCCCCAGCCAGGGCTGGGGTCCAGGCTCCAGTAACTCCCCCTCACCCACACCAGCGCGATCAGGCCTGTTTTCTCAGGAGACCTGAGACAGAAGAGGGTCTCCAGGGAGAGGGAAAGTTGGGACTAAGGGATGCTGTGTGGATTGGGCTCAGACAGCTGCCTTGTTAGTCTTAGGATATTTTGGGATTTGGTAGCATGCTCAGACACACTATAAGAGGGCTTGAAGAGGGGCTCCTGGTCTCCTCTCTGGCCTCATTCATTCCTGGGCAAGCCCTACAGCACCCTTTCTTGCCAGGCTCAGGGCACTGCCTTTAGAAATTGGGCAAATTATAGCCTGTGGTTATCCAGCATACCTCGCTGTGACCTGGTCAGCTGCACTTTACTCCTGGCCTAAGCAGGGTTGGTAATCAGCAAAGTGACAACGAAATCAGACCTGAGAGTGTCCCACTGCCTCCTACCACGGGGCTCAGGTACTGACCGTACCAACCCCTTACTCTTACCTATAGGGGAATAATACAAGGGCATCTGTTTGTGAGGAGGGGCAAACCTGGGCCCTAGGCATGGACACAGCTGGGCCTCCAGGCCAGAAACACCTCAATGCATGCAGAAGGGGCAGCTCAGCCAGGAGAGTAGGGGCCCACAGGGCTAGATATACTCTCCCCCAACTCCTTTCCACACCCATGGTAACCATGGAAATATAACCACCCCCTCCTGCCAGCTGCCTGGGTTTAGACAACCAGACCTGGACCACCTCCACCCTGCCAAGGCCTGAACTGAGACCAGGCTGGCCACAAGTGGCTGCAGGAAGAACTGGGATTGGGCGATTTGGTCAGTCCAGGCTTCAGCACAGCTTGGGAAGACTACCACAGGAGCCTCCATGCCTTGCTGCCTGGGCTGGGGTCAGATGGAGCTAGGTTAGCCAGCAGAGCCAGCCGCATGGCCCCAGATGCCCTCTGCCTGTGGGCTAACAGCTACTATGGGGCAATAGCCCTTGCTGCAGCAGCAGTAGCCTCTGGGACTCGTTGAGGGGGCTTTCTGGCTGCTGCTCCTCCTGCCTGGGCTGCTCAGCTAGCCCTCCAGGGCTGAGAATATACCGATAGTCACCAGGGGTGCCCCCCACTGCCCCTATGCCACTGCTATTCTCAGCCCTGCTAGCAGCCTGGTCCCCACCAGGCAGCTCCAGGCTGCCTCCCTCCGCAGACTCCTCAGCAGTCTCAAGGTTGATGTACAAGGGGTCCCGGCTGGTGGACAGCACAGACAGGTGGCCCAGAATGTTTTCCAGCTCCATTCGCAGGCATGTGAAGCTTGGGCGCTGCTTGGGGTCGGCGCTCCAGCACTGGTACATGAGCTCATACCTGGGGCAGACAGAAGGGTAAGGGGAGGTAGTGAGGAGCCAGAAGAAAGAGGAAGGATGTTCCTTCCCTTAAAAGCAGAGGTCCCATACAAAACTAGGATCTTAAAAAATTTTATTTGTATAGGGCTTTCCATGTATCAGGAACTCTTTACTTTTATTGACTTTTTTTTCTTTTGTTTTTATTGATTTATAAGGGGGAGAAAGAGGGAGAGATAGAGTGAATCATCGATCAGCGGCCTCCTGCATGCCCCCTACTGGGGATCGAGCCCACAACCCAGGCATGTGCCCTGACCAGGAATCGAACCATGACCTCCAGGTTCACAGGTCGATGCTCAGCCACTGAGCCACACAAGCCGGGCCAGAAACTCTTCTAAGTAGTTTACGTTTATTATTTAATTCTCACAACCGTCCTATAAAATAAGTGATCCCTACTTTACCAATGTGGAAATTGAGGCACAGAGAGGTTAAGAACCTTGACTAAGGTCACACAGGTAGAAAGTGATGAAGCTGCAACTGGTAGCCAGGTGGGCTGGCCCCAAGTCCCTCCTATTCAATTTTGGGAGGAAGTACTAGGAGTGTTTTTGTCTTGCAGAATGCGGCCAGGAATGTGGGTTTCGGCATCCACCCTTTGTCCTAAACTCTCATCCATTCAGGCAGGCAGTCTTAAATCTCTTTGTTCATGGATACCTTTGAGAATCAGAAAAGCTTCCAGCCCTCTTCCCCTGGCAGGAACACTTTTGACACACAATTTCAGGAACCTTACAGATTCCCTGAGGTCTTATCCTATTCCTAGGGCCTGCCTCAGGCTGAGGAGAAAAAAAAAAAAAAAAAAAAAAAAATAATACGAAGGGGCTGAGACCAGATTAGTCAGAGAGAGCAAATGCCTGAGTCTCTTGCCTGTGCCCACAATAAAAGTTCCAAACACTCCCTGCACACCAGCCCTCCTGACAGGGGCCCCCAATGATGGGGGGAATCATGCCAGATACCGAATAGGCCATGGGAATGGTCCAGTGCCATGGGTCTGTGGTCAGCCTGGGACAAACTGTCAAGGCTGTGCTAGGAGCCAACTGGCACCTATCCACCAGGCTGCTTGGTGGGAGGCCAGCATCCGCCCACCCTCTATTGACAACACTAGCTCCAGTCTCAGAGAGTAAGCTAGAGACTAGTCCCCACTGCCCAGCAGACTCTCTGCGGCTCCAGAAGCCTAGGCAGGCTGCAGCCAAAGGGCGACTTAAGCTTCCTGCCCCTGCCATGCCCTGAGCTCTGCTGAATGAATAGGACGGGTAGGGCCTGGTTTGTGGCTCAGATTTCTCTCTTACCCACAGTCCAGGTTCAGGGTACTTCGAACCCACTGCCCTAGAGAAAGAGGACCCCACCATTCAGGCTGAGCCTTCCTCTACCTGTCCAACATTCTCGGACCACTGGAGGTCCAACTCCATGGAAAGAAATAAGAGGTAATCCTCCTCTAATCCTAAAAGGAAAAGACCCCATTTTGTAGCTGAGGAACTGGGATTAAAGAGGTTAAGTAATATGACCAATGTCACACAGCTATTAAGTGAATGACTTGGGGTTAGAGCCTAGATCCCTGTCATTTCAGAACATGTACTTCTTAACCATGGCACCAACCGTGACTTGTCTGTTCTAGTGATATTCCCTCACCCCATGCAAACCAGCGTCTCCCTGGGCCCCAGAGGACCTTTTCACTAGTAACCCTGAGAGGGAGTCCCTTCACTCCCCTCAAGAGGCCAAGACAAGAAAGGAACTCAACCTCCCGCCCCCAGCGCCCCCTCCTATCAAGCAAGGAATGTGATGGAGAAAGCAGTTATTTCCTTGCCCCGGTGCAGCCCTCTCTTAGAGGGAGGGAAAGCTCCACCTAGGAGGTTTTCTTAGACTAGCTGGGGACTGAGCAGGAGTGGGGGTGGGGAGAAGGTGACAGGGAAACCTGCACTGACTGCTGCTCATTCCTGTAACTTCTGCCTTCAGGGCTCCTGGTTCTCCTTGGAAACTGGAGAAAACAGAATGACAGGAACAGGCTGGAGCAAGAAAAATGAGATGGTAAAGGAGGGAAGAAAGAAAACAGGGAGGTGCTAGATGACGAAGTAGTTTGGGGTAAAGGTCAGCCTTCCCTCTAATGAATGACAAGGACATTTCCAAAAAAAAATAAAAAGGTCTCTGAGTTGCCACTGGCCCAGCAGCTGTGGTGGTGGCCATCAGCTCACACCCCAAATTCCCGATTCCTCCAGAATCCCCTTCCCAGGGCACTTACACGTCCTCCATACAGTCCGGAGGCTGTTTCAGGCGGTTCCCGCCGATGAGGTAGTTGTAAATCTCAGCGTTCTCGATGCCAGCATATGGCGTCTGCCCACGAGTCATGATCTCCCACATGGTCACCCCAAAGGCCCACTGGGAGAGAATCAAGATAGGAGGAAAGGTGTCACTAGGCTTCCTGCGCCACGTAGAGCCCCGAGGCAAGTACATCTTAGGGCTCAGGAGCCTCATACAAGCCAACCAAGGCCCAGAGCGGTGACCTGGATGGGCCCTTGAGGGGCCTTTGAGGATCCTAAAGGTCCACCCACACACTAGTCCACACCGCTTGCGTTACCACCAAGCCTCACTGTGCCACCATACTCACCACATCACTGTGCACAGTATACAGGTTGTCGGCCAGGCTCTCCAGGGCCAGCCACTTGACAGGCAATTTGGAGGCACAGCCCTGGCGATAGTAGTCCCCGCTATAGATCTTCCGGGACAGTCCAAAGTCGGCCACGCACACAGTCATGTCTTCTGCCAGCCTGTGAGAAGTATTGAAGCGTGGGGTCATGCTGACAGCCTTACTAAAGCAGGGGCATCTTTACTCCCAAGCTGTCCCCTTACATAGCAGATACTGCCCCAGGCAGGAGCTGACTATTAGCCAGCTCCTCCTAGCACTAACCACTCCCTCCCACGCCTGAGCCTCCAGAATTCACATACATGCAATTCCGAGCAGCCAGGTCTCGGTGGATAAAGTTCCGGGAGCTCAGGTACTCCATGCCACAGGCAATGTCCACCATGAACCGAATCAGCGTCTGCAGGGGCAGGTTCTGGTGGGCAGACGAAGCAAGCTCAGGCTGGATCTGTCCATCCAGCCAGGGTGGGATAAATGGGGTTCCCCAGCCAGAAAGCCTAGAGACTATCCTTGGAATCACTGAAAGGAAGGGGATAGAGGGGCTTCCCAAAGCAAGGAAGCTTTGGCAAACCTTCCAGAGCACCCAGGAGTCAAGACTCCCCCAATCTGGTGCTCCACAGATCTCTTCTCCCAGAAAAGTCCTTGCCTGGCGTAAAATTCCTAGCAAGCATAAAAGGAGTCAAACTCAGGGCCTGCCTTCTCCCAACCAGTTCAACTGGCCCAACCCAACCAGACAACCTCTCTCTCAGGGTCTTTAAACCTTTCCAACTCCTGGCCACTTCCATCCCAGGCACTCACAAAGGGGTTCTCCCCAATCCGGGAGGCAAGCAGGAAGGCATGCAGGTCCCCGTGCTTCATGAAGGGCAGGATGACCATGGGAATGGGGAGACGGCCTTTGGCCCTGCTCCGGAGGCTGACTCCTGGGAACAAAGGAGAGACAGGAGAGGGGCACATAATGGTCAAAGAATGGCTCAGGTGTCTGCATGAGCCCCTACTTGCTGGGTCTCACCTCTAGCCCTGGCTTTGCTACTTCTTTCCCCACAAGTTCCACACTGATTGGTGACCACCAGGATGAACTGTGGCTGCCCCCAGATCTCTGGAGCATCTTCTCTGTCCCCTCTTCCTCCTTCATGTGCAGACCTTTGGTATAGGGCCTGCAAACTAAAGTCCTTACCTGGAGTCTGATCAGATTTCAGCCAGGACCTCCTGGCTACTTTGCCATCTGCTTACTAACCAGGTAAGTCTGAACTTCTCTCCCACAGGCTGCCCTCCCGCCTAATTTTGTATCTGCATCCCCTAAGAAGGAGCTCACCAACAAGCTTGGCCACGTGTGGGTGGTCAAACTCCTTCATGCAGGCGGCTTCCCTGAGGAACTCTTCAATGTCGCTTGAGGCAATGATATCAGCTGGGAGAAAAGGATGGGAGGGAATGAGGAAGATGTGTCCCCAGTTCTGACCCAAGACTCCTAGGCTTTGTTCTTCAGATGTCCTGGGCTTCCCAGGGGGCCTAGGAAACAGTCTGGCCATGAGCAGGAAAAACCCTGCTATAGGAGTGGTGCTATCTAACAATTTCTCCACTTGCTAATGCTTTTCCTTTGGACAGCCCAGCAGCTCAACCAACCATGGTTTTCATCACTCTGAGTGAGCCCAGACGATAGTCACTGCTGATGGCAGAGAGCAAAGGCTGGGGCATGAATGTGTGTGGGTTCATGCCTGTGAATTAGTCACTTGGCATCCCAGCTAGTGCTAACTCTTCTTGGAAAGTCTAGGGGCCCAGCAGAGCCTGCTTCAGTATCAGTCACCCCCTTTGCCCTCCCAAGTGATGCCCTCACTCCACATCTACTATTCTCCACTCACCTTTCAGCATCTTTACAGCCACTTTCACAAAGGAGCCATCCTCCTGCTTTAACTGGGCTTCCCGCACTGAACCAAACTCTCCTACAAACCAATCCAAATTATGGTGAGTCCCCTCACCTTCCTGTCCTCCACCCCCATCCCTCCCAGGTGACCCTCCATAAAGACAAAAACTCATTAGACTCTGGGGCCATTGGCAAAGGCTCCCTCTTCCACAGCCAAAGCAAAGTATGCTGGGAGTGACTCCTCATCAGCACTCCTAGTCCCCAGCTACCATTCCCCGAAGCATCCCACACTCAGGAGTCTATAAGCATATCCTGTTTATAGGAGCTGACCCAAATCCACACCCTCAAAGTGATGGGAGCAACCAAACACACCCAGACATGGCAAACTCCACTCATGCCAATCCCTGCACAGCTCCACGTACCTTTGCCCAACATCCGGCCCAGGGTGAACTGCTGCTCTGGGATGAGCACGTCCTCAAGTTTGTCCTTCAGTTCATCGCTGATGCCCAAGCTGTCCACTGTTGGGGAGGGGGTGGTGAGAGGGACCTCTCTGCTTCCTGATCCCAAACCCAGTCTGCCTCCTATACCACAGACTCCACCCACAGAGCAGAGATGAGCTTAGTTTAGCTCGCCCACAGCTAGAATGGCGGCCTCCACAGGGTAAGGTCTGTGTATCTTTTCCATACTGTGTGCTTGGGACTCATGAAGGTTCAGACATTGGTCAAATTAATGAATTAGTAAAAGGAGCACAGAGAGGGGCACAAGATAGTCCATTCTTCCCTCGTTTGATTCCCCACCACTCACACGTGGCCTCGATGCGTTCAGGCCTTTCCCGATTGAAGGACCGGGCTGCGCGGAAGTGAACAGCTGGCTCCCCTCGGGCCATGACACTGTCAAAGGCTTGCCTAAAGGGAAACCCAAGACTTGGGGTCAGCTCCAAGGTCTTCAGTCATCACCTTCCTCTCCCTCTGTGTCCCTACCCCTTACCCAAACCGCGTCTCCTTCCGCCTCTTTCGAAGCAGGATGAGAGCCAGGGCAGCAGCCGTCACCAGGGCTGTCAGCACACCCAGGACCACAGGCACCCAGGATGTGCGGCTGTGGGGAGGGCCCTGCTGGCCTGTGGGAGACAGGGGCATGAGGTAGGCTGACACCAAAGAGTCCCTTTAAAACTTTCCAATGATGGCCATCTGGCCTGGTCAAGAAACTCCAAAGGAAGACCCGAGAAATCCTACCCTGTCAGTGACAGGCCCTGGCTATTGGGACCTATAGCACAACCAGAGAATGAGATATAGTTTAAATATCATCCCTAGCCTCAACTGCTTGACTCTGTCTTTGGGCCTATTGGAAGGTAAGGTGCTGCCAGCCTCCTAGGGTGCCCCTGAAAGCCCTCATCCTGTCCCCTCTCTCTACAGGCCTCACCTGCATGGTCATGAGAAGAGACCACCAGTGGCTGACTCCAGGGCCCACAGCCAACTGCATTGGAGACGCACACACGCACAATCAGGTCCTTCTGAGGATCCCAGACTGTCAAGTTGACCCAGGTCCCCTCCACTATCAGTTCACCCTGCAGCCAAGAAAAGCCCCCATCCCACACTGAGTCTGAGGAAAAGGCCTCCAGCTGGGGCCAGAAGGCAGAAAAAGGTCTAGCTAGGAGCATGGGAACCTAGGGACACTGGGTTCAGAGGCTACAGGAACAAAACCTGCTGGTAGTTATTACGTTCCTGCTCCAGGCTGCAGAGGCCTATCCTGAACACAAACAAGGCTCAGTCTCTGGAGTGCAGGAGTGGGGGATGGGAAAGAACTGGGCAGCGGATAAGAAGGTCTTATCTGTGCCCTCCCCCAGTTTGTGCAGAAATGTGCTTCCTGCTTTACATACAAAGTAGCCAATGGATGGGATCCTAACAGAAACATAATCCAATAAGAAGTGCAGCCTGCAGGGGAAGGTAAGAGGAGTGGACTTCCTGGGGTAGTGAGAGGACCAGCACACCAAGGCCCCCCAGGCCTACCAAGGACAGCCATTCTGAAGCCAAAGGCTTTAGAGCACTGAGGGGTGACTGTGATACACCTAGAGAGTGGAGGCTTCTGTCTTCCCTTACCTGGGTTCCGTTGTCTTGAACCCAGGACAGTTTATAGGGTCCCAGGGAGCTTTCGAAAGGGCCCTCAGGGATCACTTCTTCCCACTCCAGGATGAGACCTGAGTCTGTGCGGATGGCATGGAGGTTCTGGGGAGCGCTGGCTGGGGCTGTACCCAAAGAGAGAAGGTTGCTAAGAGCCCTGCTCTTCCCACCATCACTATCCCATGCAGGTCTTTGGAGCCAACTCCCAAGAACTAAACAGTTAAGTAAGAGATCAACAGGTGGGGGGAGAGCTTGTCTCCCAATTCTGACTGCTCTCACCCCTGTCCCTAGGGAGGAAGGCTTTGCAATGGCAGCACCCCTGCTAGGCAGAGTGTTGCTCTTAATCACCTTGGTGACTGCCTCAGCCATATCCTTCACTACTCCTGCCACAGTCCTCCCAGCCTCCTTGCAATTGCTAGAGAACTTCAAACAAGTTCCTGCCATACAGTCTTTGCACTTGCTGTCCCCTCTTCCCGCAGTGATTTTCCTTCCAAATATGGCTCCTTCCTTATCAATTTCTAAACCACCCTGGGGCACTCTCTTTATCTGATCTTATCTACTTTGCTTATCTGTCCTACTCACTAGAACAAGAGCTACATGGGATGCCGGTAGGATTTATCTAGTTCATAAGTATGCCACAGGTACTCAATAAGTGTTTGCAAAATGGTGCATAAAGCTCCATCTCAGGTAGCTCCTCTCCCAGTCAACTCCATCCAGAACTGGAGCCAGACAGTCCTTCCCTTCCCCCACTCCAGCCCTACCCAGCCACTCTGTTCTGTAAGTCCCTTACCTAGACCCTTTGTCTGAAAGGGCACCCAGTCAGCATATGGAGAAGGCCCCAAGGCGTTGGCACAGCGCACCCTGAGGCTGTAGTTAGTGGCAGGTGCCAGGTCACGGAGAAGGCAGGTAAAAGGTGGCACAGGGACCACGACAGCCAGGACCTCCAAGCCTCCTGGGGCCTGCGTCACCTACAGAAAAGCAGAAAACTAATGATGTAGAGGGAGATGGAAAATAGGATAGGTATGGGTATGGAGTGGGGGGACTTGAGCTAATGCCTCCAAGCCTGTCAGCAAACACTTGTAACCCACCCTTTCCCACCAGCCCCACCTCTAATAACACACCAGCTTCCATACCTCCGTACCTTTGCAAATGTTCCCTTTGCTTAGAATGACCTGCTCTTCCTAGCAAAGTTCAACTCATCCTTTAAGACTCAACACAAATGCCACTTTCTCCAGGAAAGCAGTCCTCAACTACTCCAGAAAATTCATGCCTCTTTGTGCTTGGTGCATAACCTGGTTAGAGTAGTTACCACTTATTGTAACTATATGTATGCCAACCAGCTCAAAGTCTCAGAGCTTCTGAAGGGCAGAGTAACTGGGAGCCTAAGGGGCACTGTGAACCACTCAGGGCAACAGTGCAAATGGAGATCCATGTACTATATGGCTAAATATTTAAATGTTACAAATCAGCTAACAAATTATTAAATAAAATACTTTCTATCTCAATATATTAACAAAAAAAGCTTCAAAACAACCTGGAAGGTCAGGTTTGCATTTATAATCCTCTAAATCCTTAGACTCCCAAACCAGAATGTGGTGGCACAAGGATCTGTACCTTGAGGGACATCACGTGCACGGGTGTGGAAATACTGCTTGCATACCCATCCCCCCACAAATGGCTGCCCTTTGGACACAGAGGTGTACGAACCATACCCTCCCAAGGATGCACCACGAAAGAGGCCCACACAGGCAGACTTGTCATAAGACAAGAAATCCTGAGTATCTAGAATATTGTATGGTATGGTGGTTGTATGTGTGTGTGTGTGTGGGGGGGGGTTGTCCTCATGATCTGGATAGGCATGTCCCACTTGCCCAGGGGCAAGAGGTGAAGGGGTGCAGACAAAGGAGGGTCAGAGTGCGGGGTCCTCTAAATGGTGGAGCCCAGAGCTAGGGCCTCTCCTTGGGGAACTGCCTAGAACAGTTTCCACGGTGCTCATTAAATAATGCTCTTTGAGTAAACACCTGAAAATAAATAAGCCTGCATCATCTCTTGTTTTTAGTATCACCTTACCCAGGTTGTTCACTCTCTGTGGCTTAGAACCCCACCCCACCCCACCCCCAGTCCCCTTGTTCTCTTTGGCATGAGTTAGGGGGTGAGGCATGAGAGTGCAGGTATCAGATAAATCAAAGGTTTGGGTTTTCAGCAACATAAGAAAAACCCTTCCAGACATCCCAAATCTGCTCTAGTGATTTGCTTTCCAGCCTGAAGAATGAATGGGTTTTAGCCAACCTTCAGAGTCAGTTAGTTGCCAGAGCACCTTAAGATGAGGTAAGGGAACACCACCTGAACAAAGCTGGAGACCAAAGCCCATGGGCAAGTCCAGTGGTATCTAGTGTGATACCACTGTCCACAAAGTGCCACTGAGGCAGCCAGAATAAACGTGGCCAGGAGAGCCCGTCCCACCCTCTCAGTTTACCTGGATTGTACAGGATTGAAGCACAGCTCGGCCATCCGCACCTGGCATCCAGGCCACGCTAGCATTGCTGCTGGAGAGCTTTGTCACTGTGATGTTAAATGGGGCTGCAGGCAGTGCTGTGGATGGGAACTTAGAGTCAGTGCCCTGGAGTTCGGTGCCCAGGAACCAACAATATGAGAGAAGGGGACAGAAGGCATGGGAGTCAAGCCTTGAGTTCCTCCTTAGAGTCTGCCCCTCTTAAACTAAAGATGACTACTCAGTACTCCCAGGACCACAATAATATACAAGCCAAGCAACCAGTAGGAGACAGATGCTCATACTCAGGAGAGTGCCTAGGCTGTGGAGAGAGGTTGCCTCTCCCAGAATCAAGGGCCCTGTCTGACCAAGGAAAAGGGTAAGATAGTGGGTATGGAGGGGGCAGTACCTCAGCCATGGGAGAGGAAGTCCCTGTAGCCACAGCTCATTCCTCTACAAGCTGGCTCTCTCCTTCCCTCCCTCTGTGCAAACTAGCCCTTTGGGTCTCTATCATCCTGCCAGGCTGTTTTCCCCTCCCCCATTCCCTTCACAGGGCTGGCAGAAACAAAGTTGGGCATGAGCCTTGACCATCTCCTGCTGGCTTCCTCTCCCTCCCTCCCAAGCGCTCTGCTTCATGATGGGAAATCTGCTGTGACGTCAGGTTTCTATTCTCATCTCAGCCTCAGCAGGGTCTCAGGTGCTCCCATTAGGAATGGAGCTATGCCAATTAACCCCTCATCCCTCAGATCCCAGCAGGACCGAGAAGAGCTGGAACAGCAAATGATTCTTTACCCACGGCTGGACAGCTTGCCGAAAACGCACCTGCCTCATGTACCCTCTCCCACCAGTCTTCCTACCTTGGAGACGAACCGTGGCTGGGCGGGAAGAGGCCAGGCCTTTCAGGTTGTGAGCTTCACAGGAGAACACAGTGCTCTGGGTCACCCCTGGGGCCAGAAAGCCTCAGTCAGCCCCCTCCCACTGCCAAGTAGCAACTTTCACTCTGGTATTGTGGAAAGTGGATACTTAGGCTCCAGATCTTAATATGCTAGAAATCCCTCCAGCTAAAGGAAGGGGCTAGGGTGGGGAATCTTTTTTCTGCCAAGGGCCATTTGGATATTTACAACATCATTCTCGGGCCATACAAAATTATCAACTTAAAAATTAGCTATGAAAAAAGCTCCTAGACTTACTGAATTTTGAGTCCCGCCTGCAATTGTCTTGGCAGGGCCAGACCAAATGATTTTGCGGGCCGGATGTTCCCCACCCCTGGGCTAGATAGTGGGGTACTGCAGAATGAAGGGACTTTGGAGTCTAACAGGCCTGGGTATAAATCCAAAGGCTGGGGCTCTGTCTTCTCATCTCCCAAATGGGAGAATTGTGACAACCAAATGATGTAAGGTGCCTGGCACACAGTAAGCACTTGAGAAATGCTATACCACCCCTCCCACCTCAATCCCATCTCCCGAAGACAGCACAAAACTGCCTCCCTTTTCTGGTCACTCCTTTATTGCACATTCCAGAGCCCTTCTGTTTGCTCTGTGACACATCATTGCTGTATTTGCAGATTCTTTGCCTTGCAATAGTTCTCAGCTCCTTAGACATGTGTCTTGTCTCTAACTCCTTGGGGGCTGGACAGATGGCTTCTATTTTTCTTGTATTCCCTCCATCCCCCGTGGTGCCTAGCACAGTGTGGCGTGTGGAGTAGGAGTTCAGTGAGTGCTTATTATCAGGCTGGCTGCCTGAGGGTCCCAACCACGCACATCTGGAGAGAACTGAAACCCAACCTCCCTTCTAATCTGCTCCAACCCAGCACCTCCTAAACAGGACCTGCCCTTGTTTCCAACAGGTCCTGCAGTCCACCTCGTCTCAAGATTCATATTGCTAAGGCAATATGACTTGGCAGATTACAGCCTGTTCCTCCTACCTGCCAGTACATGACACCAAGCTCAGACAACAATATTTGGCCAGTTCAAGCCTCCACCAGAAACATTGTTTCACAGATAAGTGAGCCTCACAAGCATGTGAGGTATGTGCCCAAAAATCTTGGGGTCCAGGTGGGTGTGCAGATGTGGCTGCTGTAGGTTAACTGTGTGGAGGTATGCAAAGATACAGTTGTTTAGGAAAACAATACAAGTGCCATTAGGAAAGGAGGCCCTGTATTTTTGTGCTGGCCTCCCCTCCCCATTTTCCTTCCCCCTGCCATTCCCCACTGCAGCCTGAGACTCTTGTCTTCTGCCAGACACTCCTCCTAGCTCTGCGTGGGCTGGTTCCTGGCTCCTTTCCTTGGGAGGAGTGGGGGGTGGAGGAGCAAGGGTGCCCCTGGTTCCACCCAATTCATCTCCCAAGGCCAGCTGTACACAGCCTGCACTATCGTCAATGAGGGAATGAGGCTCTAGCATCCTCCTTAAGCATACACAGCAGGATCACCACTAATCTGCCCACCCAGCAGACCTAGCACACCTGATTAATGAGCTTAGCAATGGTGCAGCTCACGTACCCAGGCACCAGGGTTTGCTCTGGACACTCACTACAGCAAACAGTGATTTAAGCAGATTTGAACTCTGCCAGCCTCACCACCCCTGCTCAAAGCCCCTCCTGAGGCTGCTCACCTGTTACATTTAAAACTGAAGGAGAGGGAAAAGGTCCCCCAACCTTCGTGCCTCCTCTCCACCAGATAATGGTAACAGGTTCAGGGGGACCCACAGCTTCACAAAACAGTTGGAAAGGGGCGTTGGGTGGTACTGCCAGATCTTTCGGCTCCACTGTGAAAAATGGCACACCTAGGAAGAAAAGGAGCATGGGAGTGAGCCTTGCCACTTCTCAGCTTCCAACTGCCCAAATCACAAGTTTGCTACCATTTGAAGCCCTCTCTGCATAAGGTCCCACAGGCCCTTATGATTAGGTCAACTGCAGAACAGGAACCTAGCTTGACAGGAGTGCTCTTCTTTGGCCCCCTTAGGAATATCGTTTGTGTTCTCTCCTTGGGCAAGACAGATTCTCCCTTCCCAGACTTTCTCTGACAGCCCTTCTCTGAGCAAGAAAAGGAGCAGAGGGTGGGGAGCTGGGGGAGGGGCAAAAAGGGAGGAGAAGTGGGCGGGACCTTGAGCAGAGTTTTGGGGGAAGGACCCAGATCCAGTTCAGAGCCCTTTGTTACTTTCTTAGTCACTTTGTTTTCCAGGGCTGAACAGCTCTGAGCTCCCACAGCTGCAAAGCCTTCCTCCCCTCCCCCATCTCTCCCCCTCCTGGCCTGGCCACTTGGCAGAAGAGTCCAGCCCCAGATGGGTGCTTGAGGCTTGTTGTTCAGACAACTGAAACTGACTTGCATCCCATAGGTTGTGCGTCCTAGTTGCCCCTTTGGCTCTGAAATACCCAGACTCCAGTGGGTATCGTTTGATGTTGGGGTGGGCCTGGAACCTGGTACAATCAGGCTTCAGAGGGCAGTGAGGCAGCTTTCTTCCACTGAGCTTTCTTCTCCAGAGTTGTGGTCACCAGCAGACAGCAAACATGCCCACATGCCTCCTCACCTTCTACCGTGAGCCACACTGGCGGGGAGATCTCGGTTTTGCCCCCATCTTCCACCTGGCACCAGTACTGGCCCGCATCAGAACGCTCCACTGACTTCAGGCTGTGGAAACAGGACACCAGGCTTGCCTCCCAAAGTCAATGGAGGCAGCTCTGCTGTGCAGACTCAAGGGGCTCAGCCTGCCCTTACTTCTGGAAGTTTCCATAGGTTGTAGAATAAAGAAACCACAGACCTCTGGGCATCAGCATTGCCCCAGCTCCCAATGTCCCCAGGCTGGTATCCCACACCTTTCCCCATAGTCCTGCACCTGAGGAAGCCGATCCAGTGCTGCTCGCTGATTGAGACATACATCTGATCCAGGCCCTGGACCATAGCTCCGTCCTTCATCCACAGTATGTCAGGATCCTCCATCCCCTCCACACTGCAGTTGAGACTCACCGGCTGCCCCTGAGACACTGTCAGCTTCATCGGGACTCCCATGAGCTTCAGGCCTGTGAGGTGGGAAGGAGAATGTGTCAGCCAGCTTGAGAGGTCCCCTGTCTCTGGAAATATCCCCCCATCCTCTTCCAGAACCTAGCTTCTGTGTCAGAGGGCTCATTCTCAGCCAATGGCCAAGGAAGCAGAGGCAGGACAGTGTGGGAAGGACTTAGACCTGGAATGTGGGAAGGGACATGACAGGCTCTCCAGGCACCATTTTTGCCACTGCCAAGTTTTCCCCAGCGCTAAGGCAGTGACCTCTTCCCCATATCTCCCTGCTGGGCAATGTTAAGTTCAGGCCCCAAAACCAAAAAGAAGTCAAGCCAGGCTGAAACAGTGAGGCATTCCCACATACCTGAGGCAGGTATTGCCCTGTGAATAACTGCTGTACCCAGCCAGTGCAACAGGCAGCCAGCTCTCCACCCTAGGTGTCAGCCCAGACCTGAACTGCAGCTAGCACCCTCCTGTACCCCACCCAGGCAAATGAAAGAAGACTGAGGAAGTGAAGGAGGGGGTGCTCCCCTGAAGTGGAGAACATATGGCTGCAAAACCACGTCAGATCAAACACATGGCAGCCTTCCTCACAGCCGCCTGCTCTATTAATACCTGAATGTGTGCAGGGGCGGCTGCTAGGAAGGTAGGAGGTAGAAGGGAGGAGAGGGGCCCTGAATGGGGAGCCCAAGACCCCTGAGCTACTGTCGAACCAACAGAAGCCACCCTGTGAACACTACCCTCTGCACACATGCGTGCGCATGCACGAGCACGCGCTTGCGCGAGTGCACATACACACACACACACACACACACACACACACACACACCCACCCCTCTCCTGCTCTCCTGTTGTGTTTTTAAGCAGAGAAGGGCGGGTGTACTATCCACATATCTGAGATTCAGTCCTGGTTCTTCCTGCCCTTTGCTGTGTGTTAAATACTGGGCTCTCTGATCCTGAGACACACACCTTTCAGCTTGTAAACACTTGTCACTCTTTCCATTCCCTTCCCTGAAAGGCTGATATGGCAGGGAGTGCTGTCTCAAGAGAAGGTGCCAGCTGGGTGCCTGCTGCTCTGGCCTGTGATCCTTCCTTACTACCTTCACCCTGTCGGGATCACTCACAGGACAAGGAGGGAGAGCCTCACACCCCAAACACTCCAGGGGTGTGTAGTGTAAACTTGAGGATCCAAAGTGCTACAAGGAGCACTCCAGTGACTGGCAAATGCCTCCGTGGCTATGTGGGAACACAAGGCTAACCCCCACAAAGACTGGCAACCTTGCCCCATCCCATCCTCTCCAACATTCCAGGCTTCGGGAAGCTGAGCGGGGCACAGGAACTAGAGTGTGCCCAGATGTGTTCTGTGCCTCGGCACCTCGCAGCCACTGTACCTAAACAGTGCCTCTCGGGGCGCTCACCCCCAGCCCCTGTGGTTTCAGAGAGAGACCCTGGTGTGTGGGGTGGGCAGAATGGGGGTCCCCAGAACTGGGAGGGAGAGCAAACAACTGGGAACACAGAGGTGGGAAATCCGGTTCCAAACACCGGCTGACCACACAGCCCCACTCCTTCCCTTCCCACCCCGCCAGAACAGCCCCGGAC